TGTATGTATGTAATGTATGTAATGTATGTATGTATGTATGTATGTATGTATGTATGTATGTATGTATGTATGTATGTATGTATGTATGTATGTATGTATGTATGTATGTATGTATGTATGTATGTATGTATGTATGTATGTATGTATGTATGTATGTATGTATGTATGTATGTATGTATGTATGTATATGTATGTATGTATGTATGTATGTATGTATGTATGTATGTATGTATGTATGTATGTATGTATGTATGTATGTATGTATGTATGTATGTATGTATGTATGTATGTATGTATGTATGTATGTATGTATGTATGTATGTATGTATGTATGTATGTGTATGTATGTATGTATGTGTATGTAATGTATGTATGTATGTATGTATGTATGTATGTATGTATGTATGTATGTATGTATGTATGTATGTATGTATGTATGTATGTATGTATGTATGTATGTATGTATGTATGTATGTATGTATGTATGTATGTATGTATGTATGTATGTATGTATGTATGTATGTATGTATGTATGTATGTATGTAATGTATGTATGTATGTATGTATGTATGTATGTATGTATGTATGTATGTATGTATGTATGTATGTATGTATGTATGTATGTATGTATGTATGTATGTATGTATGTATGTATGTATGTATGTATGTATGTATGTATGTATGTATGTATGTATGTATGTATGTATGTATGTATGTATGTATGTATGTAATGTATGTATGTATGTATGTATGTATGTATGTATGTATGTATGTATGTATGTATGTATGTATGTATGTATGTATGTATGTATGTATGTATGTATGTATGTATGTATGTATGTATGTATGTATGTATGTATGTATGTATGTATGTATGTATGTATGTAATGTATGTATGTATGTATGTATGTATGTATGTATGTATGTATGTATGTATGTATGTATGTATGTATGTATGTATGTATGTATGTATGTATGTATGTATGTATGTATGTATGTATGTATGTATGTATGTATGTATGTATGTATGTATGTATGTATGTATGTATGTATGTATGTATGTATGTATGTATGTATGTATGTATGTATGTATGTATGTATGTATGTATGTATGTAATGTATGTATGTATGTATGTATGTATGTATGTATGTATGTATGTATGTATGTATGTATGTATGTATGTATGTAATGTAATGTAATGTAATGTAATGTGTAGTGTAATGTATGTATGTATGTATGTATGTATGTATGTATGTATGTAATGTAATGTAATGTAGTGTAGTGTAGTGTAATGTAATGTATGTATGTATGTATGTATGTATGTATGTATGTATGTATGTATGTATGTATGTATGTATGTATGTATGTATGTATGTATGTATGTATGTATGTATGTATGTATGTATGTATGTATGTATGTATGTATGTATGTATGTATGTATGTATGTATGTATGTATGTATGTATGTATGTATGTATGTATGTATGTATGTAATGTATGTATGTATGTATGTATGTATGTATGTATGTATGTATGTATGTATGTATGTATGTATGTATGTATGTATGTATGTATGTATGTATGTATGTATGTATGTATGTATGTATGTATGTAATGTATGTAATGTAATGTAATGTAATGTAATGTATGTATGTATGTATGTATGTATGTATGTATGTATGTATGTATGTATGTATGTATGTATGTATGTATGTATGTATGTATGTATGTATGTATGTATGTATGTATGTATGTATGTATGTATGTATGTATGTATGTATGTATGTATGTATGTATGTATGTATGTATGTATGTATGTATGTATGTATGTATATATATATGTATGTATGTATGTATGTATGTATGTATGTATGTATGTATGTATGTATGTATGTATGTATGTATGTATGTATGTAATGTATGTATGTATGTATGTATGTATGTATGTATGTATGTATGTATGTATGTATGTATGTATGTATGTATGTATGTATGTATGTATGTATGTATATGTAATGTAATGTAATGTAATGTAATGTAATGTAATGTAATGTAATGTAATGTAATGTAATGTATGTAATGTATGTATGTAATGTATGTATGTATGTATGTATGTATGTATGTATGTATGTATGTATGTATGTATGTATGTATGTATGTATGTATGTATGTATGTATGTATGTATGTATGTATGTATGTATGTATGTATGTATGTATGTATGTATGTATGTATGTATGTATGTATGTATGTATGTATGTATGTATGTATGTATGTATGTATGTATGTATGTATGTATGTAATGTATGTATGTAATGTATGTATGTATGTATGTATGTATGTATGTATGTATGTATGTAATGTATGTATGTATGTATGTATGTATGTATGTATGTATGTATGTATGTATGTATGTATGTATGTATGTATGTAATGTATGTAATGTAATGTAATGTAATGTAATGTAATGTAATGTAATGTAATGTAATGTAATGTATGTAATGTAATGTAATGTAATGTAATGTAATGTAATGTATGTAATGTAATGTAATGTAATGTAATGTATGTATGTATGTAATGTATGTATGTATGTATGTATGTATGTATGTATGTAATGTATGTATGTATGTATGTATGTATGTATGTATGTATGTATGTATGTAATGTGTATGTATGTATGTATGTATGTATGTAATGTATGTATGTATGTATGTATGTATGTATGTATGTATGTATGTATGTATGTATGTATGTATGTATGTATGTATGTATGTATGTATGTATGTATGTATGTATGTATGTATGTATGTATGTATGTATGTATGTATGTATGTATGTATGCATGCATGCATGTATGCATGTATGTATGTATGTATGTATGGCTATAGTCAGCTTCAAAGTTGTCGTGATTTACTTTATGTAGGAGTGCTTCATGCACATTTTTTTTTTTGCTTGACAAACGATACGGGACGTCCAAAAAGCAATACCCCCGCCAAACCTGAAAAACAACGCCTGAAACACAGTACGACGTCCTAACGTCGGAAGTGAATACACCCCAGACAAGGAATTCTGACGTTGACTCAAAAATCTCTGCACGATCTCCTTCCGTTGGCACCTCGGTGCCCTCCCACGAACGGGGAACTCTCGATGGAGTCGGCATAGGTAAGGAGACAAGCGCGCATATCGTCGACGAAAAAAGCTTTGTGTAGAAATGGCCGTGGGTCCAAATGTAAACCACCATGGGACCACAGGTTTAATCCATGTTTCCATTTTCCAGGGTTCCCATTTTGGGTACATATTTTTGACCCACTGCCAAATAGATTCGGGCAATGGACTCATGTGCTTGAGCCTCGCCGACTTTTTCCTTCTCCCGAGGCCGCAGCTCTCGCGGCAGGTGTCCCTGGCGCACGCGGAGGAGGCGGAGACGCAGATGTCGGAGGGCCATTGGTTCATGCTGCGCCCTGGCCAGCGGCAAAGCCAAAGGGAGCGGAGGTGTTTTTGCCATGCGTGGAATCAAGGACCCCTGGGGTGGCTTGCAATGGCAGGTCGTGTCGGTTTGGCTTTGAGCGAACACAAAAACAGGAACGAAGATGGCTGTTTAGGGATCCCTCGGGGGGTCGGCAGTCCTCCCCTCCGGACCACCTCCCGGACCACCTCCCGGACGCCTCCCGGACGCCTCTCGGACCTCGGACCTCGAAATTTCGAATCTGGGGGACTCGAGGGTGGCGACCTGCGTCGCGGTGGTGGCCATGACGGTCTTCGCGGAGGCGCTGGAGCCGGTGCTGGGGCACCCGGCCATCCTGGCGCTGGCCGTGGCGGGGAGTCGGGGGGAGGAGGTCATGGGGGGGGGGAGTGGTGGGGAGTCGGTGGCTTGCAGAGGTGTCCTTTTTGTGCTTGAATTGGGTAGGCGCTATGGACAGGTTTTTAGTCCCTGTTTCCACTTGCCAGGGCAAGCCATTTTGGGTACCTATTTTTGTCCCACAGCCATTTGGTGGAAAAATGGAGGGCGATTCCTGCTTTACCTGGTGGTTCAATCAACCAGGGCCATCGATTTTCCCAAAAAGGACGCCTATGGCTGCTTCGGTTGGTTTCCCCGAAAAGCCGGAGCTTTTGTTGCTCTCCTGGTTTTTCAACGCCCCTTTTTGGGTGGTTCTGGGTTCCGTGATTCTTGGGGTGCAGGGGTTCGGTGGGGTCTATGAGGTTGAATTTCTTTGCGACTTAATTTGTCTGAGATTGGGCGCAAATCGCGCTGGCATGCGCAGTCTGGAAGCACGACCTGCAAGCAAGAGCAGTCCCCCATTTGTGCCAATTCGTATGGCAGAAGCCGCAATTCCCGTGCGTCCCACGTCAGATGCAGCAGTTTGTGAAAGAACATGCTGCGTGTAAGGGTCAAGGGCCTTCATTTCAGAAAGTAATGCTGACCATGCGCTTCCAAGGGTCAGGGTGCCGAATGTCGTGCAGGTAGTGCTCGCCTTCGGCAGCGGCTTCCTCTCACGCGATGAGTTCCTGACGCTGGAATGGGACTTGCTCCCTGGCGAGGTTTGTCTCTCTGCTTTGGCCCGGCCCTCCCGGAAGCTCCTTTTGCTTTCCTCCGGCAAGATTCCTCAACTGTCCATCTTTCTTTTTTTGGGGGCGGGGGCAACATTCCTGGACTTGCCATGTTTTTTTCTTTGGGGGGGGGGGGGCAATATTCCTGGACTTTCCATTTTTGTTTTTATTTTTTTGGGGGGGGGCAGCCAGCCCGGCTTCGGGGCGTGCAACGCATCTGGATGGTTCCGCAGGCTCGCCATTGTGGGCGGCACCAATGTCATGGCCCTCATGGTGCGGGAGACGGCGCTGGCGGCCCACGGCTCCGTGGTCATGACGCAGTCGGGGCTCTTCGATCACATGGCCTTTTGGCCCTTCATGGTCTTAGTGATCTCCGTGCTCCTGAACTTTGCCCGGATCATTTTATTTGCGGCCTCGCCGTCGCGTCTGTAGTACATGTGTTACATGTGCGGCCGGACGTTGGGAGGAGTCAAGGAGTCAAGGAGTCGAGGAGTCAAGGAGTCAGAGAGTCAGGGAGTCAGGGAGTCAAGACCAAAGTGGGTGTGTTTTTTTTTGGGCGACCCAAACATTGTTGGCAACAAACGGTTGGACCCAGGCTCAAAAAGCCAGACACAGCCAAGTAGATTCAACTCCAGTTTGGTGGTCGCTGCCCGGCCTTGTGGGTCAGATGGTCCGGTTTCGTGGTCTTTGACCCGGGCTTTTGGGTCGAAGACGTCGAGGATCTTCGGCACCTTCACGGGGCACGCCTTGTGCGCCGTGATCATGCTGCCGCTGCTGGTGCCGCTGGGGGTGAAGCTTCAGGAGGCGGAGTTCTTCGCTCTGCTCTGCTGCATCGTCATCCCCTTTGGCATGGGCATGCCCAACGCGCCTCGGTTAAAAGCGACTGGAGAAAAGCAGGGGGGGAGGGGTTCCCAGCCAGTTTGGTTGAAAGGGAACCTGCTTGCCGTGGGTCATCGTTTTAATGGACCACGGCCGGACATTATGATTTCAACTTTTGATTCGGGTGTGGCTCCAAATTTAAGACCTAGGCTGATGCAGGTGTGGTTGTTGTTTCCAATTTACCAAGGCAAGCCATTTTGGTCTCCATTTTTCTGACAAATCCACAGCCATTCGGGGAACTCCAGGCAGCTTTTGTTGGCCGAAGCTGTGGCAGGGCCTTTGAAATTGATTCCGAACGAGCGATGGATGTGAGGCCTCTTTCGACAACATGGCGGCCCAGTCGCTCTCACGGAGCCTAAAGAGGCGGGTGTAGTGTGTAGTTCCGTTTTTTTTTGGGAGTACACATTCTTTTTGTGTTTTCTTTTGAAGGAAGGCCCAACAAAAGCAAGTGAGGGCTCTTTTTTTGGTTTGAAAGGACCCCCCCAAAAAAAACAAGAAGCTTGGCTTTAAAGGAACGCCGAAAAGCAAAAGAAGCCACGCACCTCAAAAAACCCGACGCCTCCCCAGGCGCAGTGAGCTCTCCGTGCGCGACTACTTCGGCGCTGGGAGTCTCATGGCTCTCGCCGGCGGGTCCCTCACCTTGACGCTGGGCGCCTTGGCCTCCCGCGCCAAAAAAAAAAGAAGAATGGGGTTGTCCTTTTTTTGGGGGGGGATCCCCCAATTTTTTTTTGGTTCTCCTTTTGGTTAAGGGTACGCTCCAAACAAATGACAGACATGTATATATATATATACATACATATATGTGCATGTTTGCGAGTTCTCATACATATCATATAGTACAGTCCTTTGGTTCTCTGTATATCTGCATATTTGCGAGACTGTTACTACTATATATATGTATGGATGTCTATATACATATATATATATAGATGTGGATGTCTATATATATATATATGTATACATACTATCGTCCCTTGAACCGCTCGCACGCTATGAGGGTTCTCCGGTTCTGGGCCTCGGAATGGGCTCGGCCTTCGCTCGGCCTTCGCGGGAAGGTCTTCGATTGCTTCGCGGGTCTTTGCGGTGTGTGTAAATAACAACCGCTGGGTGTGTATGAATAAAACAAACAACCATATGTATACATGAATATTTATACACACAACCATGCCTATATTCATGTATATATATATATATACATATATTTATGTACATAGTTATATATATATATATATTCGTGTATATATATATATATACGAATATGCATAGATCAACAGAGACGAAGCCATCCGAAGGCTTCGGCATCGGGTTCCTGCAGCACGGCATGCCCAAGGGCCCGGCGGAGGTCCGCCGGCGCACGCCCGAGGAGCTCGAGCCCAAGGTGGTGAAGGACGCCAATCGCGATGGGCCGTCGGATTTTTTGGTCTTTGTTTCCGCGAGCCCAGGGGAGCTGCGAGTTGCGTTGCTGCCTTCTTTTTTTTGGGGGGGGCGGGGGGGGGGGGGGACGTTTTTGTTCTTTTTTTTTTGGGGGGGGGGGCGCAACCCCGAGCCTCCTTTTTTGTGGCTCTTGGATGAAAAGCAAGAGGAACATGGAAATCCATTTTGGGGCGCCCCTGAAACAAAAGGGATTTTGGACCCCCGAAAATGGCTTTGGTGTCCAGAAATAGCTTCCCAAACCAACCACAAAATGGTTGGCAGCCGAATACGGCCCATGTAGCAAATTGAGGCTAGCCCACATATATATATATATATACACACACACATAGGTGTGTGTCAAGATAGGGGGCCCCGTACATGGCATCGGTCTTTCCCGAATGGTCTCTTTTCCAAGCAGCCCCGAAAGGGGGTACCAAAAAACCCCACCCCATATTATGTTTAACAATACGTCATCAGTAGGAAAGAAGTCAACAATCATGTCACTAAACATTGTCTCATACAGCAAGCTGGTTTGCTAGCGTATTTTTCCCCAACAACTCTTTTTTTTACTGCCTCACAAGCAACAAGCTGAGTGGATCGCAGGTGGATCCATACCATCTGAATGGTATTTCCTTTCTGAAGATGCATTCCGCAAGCCCCAAGGAAAGTTGGGATACATCTATGAGTTATATGTATACACACATACATACACACATGTACACGTATTTCTACACATTGTGCACTGGGGGTGGGGTGCTCAGGGGGAACCTATCTTAGACTCTGATGGTTTGGGCTAGGAGAATCGCGTCCTGGACTTCATGCAGAGACCTTCCTTCGTGCGGGAGCTCGGACGCTTGAAGGCGTTTGGGGGCGCCCGCAGGAAGCTCCGGCGGAGGAGCTGAGGCGAGCTTCAGCTGAGCTCGAAGTCGTCAGCCTTTTTTCTCGCAAGGGTCTCATGGTGGTACCATGAGTTCCTTGTGAGAATGCTGTCCCCCTTTGAGGGGTTCCATTCTGTTTCCGTTAGGCGATGTTATCTTCCATAGCTTCAGAACTTTGGGCCAGGTGAGGCCCTGCGGGAAAAGGGCGGCGAGCGTGTGGCAGAGTTCAATGACGCTGCATTCAATATGCCTCCAGTGCCAGATGGATATTTGACGTAAAGCTGATCCATCACAAGGGGCCACTGAGGTCGGTGCCTTGCGCGAGAGCGACAACTCGGACATCGTGCTGGGGACTGGTGAGGACGAGGCCTGCGACAGCGGGATAACCGCGGAAGTCCATCGGCATTGCAAGCGGTGTTGGCTGCCAAAGCAGTCTATTTGGAAAGCTATCATGGTTGGAGCGCTGCTTTTTGGTAGCAGAGCTAGGAAAACAAAGAGGATGGTGGCAATGTCTCAGGTCCGCAATAATTCCGTTCCATCCGCTATCCATCCACTTTCCATTTCTTCCTTCCTTCCTTCCTTCCATCCATCCAGCCAGCCAGCCAGCCAGCCAGCCAGCCATCCATCCATCCATCCAGCCAGCCAGCCAGCCAGCCATCCATCCATCCATCCATCCATCCATCCATCCATCCATTTATTTATCTATCCATCCATCCATCTCGTCAGCAATATTTTCCCTACTCGCCATGTTCCACGGAATTCTCTCGAGCTTGAGGCGGAGGGAGGTCTTCCAGAGGACGAGGAGGAGCAGCGGGACCTGGATGCGGACAACCGCGTGGACGCCGGTCCCCCAAAACCGCCGGCAGGGCCTGGCGGGCCGTCCGAGTGGGGTCTTACCGGTTTTCAGGTTCCCAGCGGCTTTTCGGGACCCCAAACGCTTGTGTCACTGGCATCTCGGATGGAACGGACGGTTGAACGGTTGAACGGTTGATTAAGCAGCTCGAACTTGACCAAGGCTGAGGAATGCCCAATAGCGCAGCATTCAAAGAAAAGGCTTTGTAGGTGGCTGCACTTCGTAGGCGAAGTCAATTCTCATCTTGCGGATAGATCTGATCTGTGCCCAGTTGGCCACGGTTCAAAACCAAATGGGATCCCATTTTGGGATAGGTGCACCAATGCTACCATTTTGGCATAGGTGAATGCACCCCCCCATTTTAGGACCTATTTTGGTGGTTGGATTGGGTGCCGTTCGGGGGCTCACCGATTTGGATTTTGACAAGCCCATGGCCCATGGCCTCCTCTCGAGGTGGCCTTGCAGAAGTTGGAGAACGAGACGAGCCCAGAGGTGCAGAGGGGCGGCATTTCTGATAGATGGAACCAACTTGGCAGGGTTTCGCTTTTTGACGACCCCTGGGCCCCAGGGTCCTGACTTAAACCCGGGGGTTCATGACCCCCAGAGAAAGAGACCCTGGGTGTAAGTCAATCTTGGGGTAGTCAAAAAGTGGAAGCCTGATTGGAGGAACCCCTGCTGCACTGACTAGACTGGAGTTGCAAAGAGATTCGGGCGGTTGCCGACTTGAGGAATTTTGCTTGGTTCTTGCAACCTGTAATTTGACGCTGCGTTGCGCAGGATGAGCTGGACACTGAAACTACAGTCGAGCCGGCACCGAGCACCAGCGAATCTACGGCGGCTAGCACCAGCGAATCTACGGAGCCTAGCACGAGCGAATCTACGGCTGCTAGCACCAGCGAATCTACTACGGCTGCTAGCACGAGCGAATCTACGGAGCCTAGCACCAGCGAATCTACGGCGGCTAGCACGAGCGAATCGACAGCCCCGAGCACCCCGGCGCCAACAACTGAAAGTTTAACAACCGCCAGCCCAACTACTGAAAGCTCGACAACTGCAAGCTCAACAGAGGCCACGGTGCCACTAACTGAAAGCGTGATCAGCTCTCCTCCAATGACAGCGAAGAGCTCGTCCGCCTCCGACTCGTCTTTGCCTGAGATGACAGTGTGGCTTTCTCTCGTTCTTTTCTTTCTTTCTTTCTTTCTTGCTTGCTTTCTTTATTTCTTTTTCTTTTTGTTCCCCCTCCCGGAGCATCGGCGACGCTGAGGTTTGAATTCTTTGGCGACATTCACCTCCCCACGCGCGGGGCTAGGATTTCTTTGACCAGAGACGGTCTCAGGCTTCAGAGGAGCCTTAGGCCTTCCAGAATCTGACGAACACCCTAAGATTTGGTTACTCCCCTAACATGGGGCCCAAAAAAGGGGGCCCATTTCCCAAAACAAGATTCTCTACAAAGGATGGGGTTTGGGGGTTCCATGTTTTTTGTAGGAGGGTACTTCCATTAAAACAACGGTTGGGTTCATGTCACCTATTGAGCGAGGATCATCTTCAACTATTGACCGAGGATCATCTAAGTTTTGTGTCGCCTTGGTTGCCATTCCCGGTTCTCAGCAGGGAAGGAGGGAACGACCAGGGGAAAGCAACCGTCCCCTATGGTTTCCTTTCAGGGAATCCCCAAACGGTTCATTCCCAACACCCCTATTGAGCACCGGCAAGTTCTTTAGGTAGGTGTTAAAGAGAAACCCTTTGCGGAACATCCCGCCATTTTGGGGTCCAAATCCCAAAAGAAGGACCCCCCCCACCTCCAGCTTGGGCTGACACCAGCAGAGTCGGTACTCGCCAGCGGCCATGTTCTGCCTCAGAGAAAAAGAAGAGCAGAGCAAAGGTTTTAAAGAGAGGCCCAAAGGAGCACCCCAAGTCCTTCCTTTTTGGAAAAAAAGACCGGCGCGGGCGACGTTTTTGCGGGAGACTCGGAGAAGAAAAACCGCGAGGGCGGAGCTTCCTGGCCTGGGCAACACGGACGGGCCACGTGCTCGGAAAACCGACGCCAAGGGGTTGTGTGGGGTGAGTTGCGGGCCGTCATTTTGGGTTGCGCCGTTTTGGGTCCCATCATTTTGGGTCCCATCACGTTGTTCCGCCATTTCTTTGGGCTCCACCATCATTCTTTTGGGGCAGCCTCCAATTTTTCGGGGGCTCCAACTAACCCCTCCGGGTTGGCTTCGCCTTGGCCCTCCCCTTGGCACGGGCGGCGTTTCCCTCCTCCGGCGGCGCCGCGCGCGCTCGGCGTCCGCGACGCCCGAGGCTGGCGTCCTTCGACTTCTTCGGGCCGAAGGCGCCGAAGCCCAAAGGCCGGGAGCTCAGCAGCTCGGCCGGGGGTGGACCGAGTTGACTTCCGTTTTGGGTGGGTAAAATTCCCGCTCCCCCCGCCCCAAAGGTGAGAGAGTCCCCCCAAAGAAAGTCCAAGTTGGATGAACCCTGGAAGTGGTGGGTAAAGCTGAGACTGAGTGTGATGTGCAAGGGTCACAATTTGCTAAGAAGACAGCAGACATGTTGATCTGAGCGCGTGTTTTTTTGCTGAGGCAAGACCCTCGCGCCTAAGGCGCGTGTGACCGCTGGCTTGAGCAGGGGCTTGAGCAGGGGCTTGATTTGTTTCGGCCGATCAGGGCATAGACATGGTGACAGAGAAGGCCATCGAGCGGCTCGGATTTCATCAAGCAAGGCTGAATGCCCGGCTGGCCGGGGGTTTTGCTTGGCGTCTTCCCAAGATGCGACTGTGCCAAGGGCGCTGGAAGGCGAGGCCCCGAAAGCCTCTTGGCAAAGCTCGCAAGGCTTGTGAGCCTGGAGTTCGGATGTTCGCACCCGCAGATGTCGTTGAGCGCAACCAACGAGTTGCCAAACTGGTCCTCGTTTGGGTGTGGGTCAAAATTAAACCAGGGGGTCGCAGAGTTTGGTCGTTGGTTCCATTGACCAGGGCAAGCCATTTTGGGGTTACCCCATTTTTGATCCACGGCCATTTGAGCCGGCTTCATGCTCCGAGTACGCGGGTCCTCGAGGGTCCCCAAAGAAAAGCGCTGCATGCGATGTCGAGATCCGTCGAGCCAAGGAGCCGATCCGGGACTCCGAGGCTCGGGGGCACAAGCCGAGAGTGGCGAACGCGTTGCGCCCAGTTGGCCTATGCCGCAAACCCTCCAGTTCGAAAAGGGGCCGTCATGAAAGAAACAAAGGGGAGTGTCTATTTTAACTGGGTCTTCTCACCATATGACCATATGGGTTGGATTCCTGCATCTCACACTTTTCACACTTTTGCGCAAAAGTCGTCTCTTTGGGGCTGGTTATAAAGGAAGCCAGCCGAGCACCTACAACTTCTTGGACATTTGAGACGGAACCCTGGGCTTTGTGGTCAGCATGGGCTTCTTCATTTTGTCTTTCAAGGTTTCGTACCCCCCCATGGGTGTCAGGCCCGAAGAAACAATCAACAAAAAACCGGGCTTTGGAACCCTCAAAATGGGCTTCGATCTTTTTTCTTGGGTTTGGTCTCCCCCCCCCTTTTCCCCGGTGGGTTTGGAGCCCCGAAAACCCGAGGGGTGGGTTCCAACCGCCTCCGGTGGGTTCCGTTCCGCGGTGCCGTGCGATGCAGGCGGCGACCTTCTCCCAGGCCGCGGTGTCCTCGGCGGTGGCGGAGAAGTTGGCCCGGGAGGCCCAGAAGAAGGCCATGGAGGAGGCGGCGGGAGTGGAGTTGGAGGTTGGGGGGTGGTTGGGGTTTGGTGGTTGGTTTGGTGGGGTATGGTGGGGTATGGTGGGGGGTGGGGGGGGTTGGGGCGGGTTTGGGGGTGGGGTGGGGTTGGTTTGGTGGTTGGTTTGGTGGGGTATGGTGGGGCCGGTGGGGTGGGGGGGAATTGGGTGGGTTGGAAGGGGAAGCGGGGGCGGGCTGTGCGGTTGGGGGGAAGGTGGGGGGAAGGCGGCTCATTTTTTTCCCCCGGTTTGTGTGGAGTTTTTCAAAACGAGAGGAAAGCTGAAGGTAAGAAAGATAGAGGACCGGAAGAAGTTGTTTTTCCGCTCGGTTTTGTTTGAAGTTGAATAAAGTGTGTAGGAAGCGAAATCTTGCCTCATGTCAATTTGGAGGTTGGTCGAGAGGGGCGAGAAGCTGCAGGATTTCATTGCTTCTCTGGAGTTCAAACGAGGGACTTAGCAATGCTTGAATCTGGGGGCTTTTGATTTGTATTTACGCGTGTGTCAAAACTGGTTACCTGGACCCTCACAATTCCAACTCAAAGATGGATGGTTGCCAGCCAACATTATGGTTGGTGAATTCCTTCTGTTTTTATGGGTTGAGGGTCCAAGTACATGGTTGTCTCTTTGGACGCATCGTCCCCGAGAATGGGTTTCGGTTTTCCTTCTGGTGGTTGTGTTTGTTCGAGGTTTTTTCTCCCCCCGGCGTTTTGGGCACTTCCCTTTGAAGGGGCAGATCGAGGGTCCAGAGTCCAGGTGCTTCAGCAAGTCCCTTTCGGCACAAATGCGCCACAATCAACGCCCGGGTAATTGGAGGGCAAGGGACAATCCCCTTGCCATAAATACTTTACATGGTTTCTGCTCAGTTGTTCAGTGGCACCAATTCTTTTTCCCTTTTTGTTTGGAGGCTGCCCCGCTAAGAATGGTCTTCCCCAAAAAGCGTTCCCTTTTTTTCCAGGGTCACTAAATAACTGAGTCTGGGATTACGACCATTTTACCGGGTTTTGAGCAAGTGACTCATTTGCCCACTTGCCAGGCAGCGAAGGCGCGAGAGGAGGAAGCCACTGCCAGGGCGCGCGCCGAATCGGCTTCACTTCGAGTTGCGTCGGGGCGAGAAACGGGGAAACTGGAGGGCAAAAGGGAAAATAGGCACTCAAGTGGTCGTGGGTCACCCCCAGTGAGCATCCCAATCTCCACTAAAATAGACTAAAATGGGTGGTGCACCTACCCCAAAATGGTACAATTGGTTTTCAAGTGGTCGTGTCTTTTTGAAAGGTTGGGCCTCTTCAAAATGGCGCAACGCTGTTCCTTTTGGTTTCCCATTCAAGCCACCAAGACAGGGGTATCACACTCTCAAGTGAGCAGCGTCCCCACTTGGCCGGTTTCTCGCCAGTATTAGGTCGATGGTGCACAATTAGCTTTGGTCTAGAAGTACTTTGCCACCACTTTCCGTTCGAGTATTTACTTTTGCAAAAAGCAAAACTGTTTCCCTCGTCTCCCGAACTCAACCAACCTGGAGATTCCTTCTCCTAGAAATTCCTGGTAGTTTTGGGATTGGCACCAATTTTCAGCGCAAGCAACAGCACATTGCCACCAAACAGCTCGCGAGGCGCAAATACCCGCAACAGGCCGCACATTGCCCACAAAATGGCCGCCAACCGCCGCCAAAAGAAGCGCACATCCGACAGTGAACGCCCAGCAACGCCCAAAGCCACCGGCAAACACCCAACACGAAAAAACACACCCCCGAAGAATGCCCAACCCGCCCTGAACCCGCCCGAGGAAAAAAACAAAACACAAGCACACACACACACACAAAAACAACAAACAAGCAAACATATATACCGTCAACTCCAGGAGGCGTCTTTCCCCAAAAACAAACACCACGGCCGGGGGTTTTCCTTTCTTGGGCGCCAGCGAGGCCGCGCAGCTGGCGGCGGAGGAGGCCTTCCGAAAGGCTCAGAGGGCCAAGGAGCTGGAGGAGCGGCCAGCAGCGAGGGCGGCTCGGTGGACCGCTAAGTGGACCCCGTGTTAACGGAGAGCCAAAAGGACAACCGAAATCCATTTGTTGGGTCCACCCTGAAAAACGAAGACACCCACTTTGACGCAAATCTCTGGGGGAACCTTCCATTTCCATTCTTTGGGATCCGAATCTTTCTAGAAAACCTCGAGACACCCATTGAAAACGACGGGTGAATTAACTTTGGCGCAAATTTTGCGTGGAGGTTAGGACTGAACAACTTCCTGCCAACGAATGGATTTTCCCATGAAGGCCATGAAAAGTTGAACTTTTAGCAGGGCAACCGGAAAACATCCTAAATTCGCTCTTTACCCCCCAAACTTTCATAGGTGGCTTTGCAGAGATTCCCCCCGAATTCCTCGCTTCTGGGGGAAGCACCCCCGAATTTTAACGGGAGCAGTGTGGTCTACTCAGCTCGGTCGCTTTCTGCTCGTTTTGAAGGGAATCTGGTAGACTACTGGATATCTACCACCTTTTCAGGGAGGTATCTGGGAAATGGAGGTCACATCTCAATGGTTCAATGGCCAGCTGAAAGCATTGGGATCTTAGGGAGGGGTGCGGCTCCCTGGGGCCACGTGTTTTGAGACTTCGGGGGGTGCGTAAGGCCCGGGCCCCAAAGGGGTATCCAAAATTCGATCCTTGAAGCTATTTCGAGTTCTATTACTGCTTCTTGTCTTAGTTCAACCCAACTTCTCCTATGTCTATTGTTGGGGGGTGTTTCCCAATGTCTCTTGTATTTTTGTTCCCCCTGTTTTTCTCGTTTCTCCTGTTTCTCTCTTTATTTTGGCTAGGGCTTCTTTTTGGGCCGGGAACCACACAGCCGGCGATCTGTGACACGTGCATGTGCTATCTGATTCTCTGGCGCTGGCCGTGGCGCAGCTTTGGGAAATCTGGATTCATTCCCTCCAGGCGTGTCCCATTGACAACGCATATAAACACACACATATTATGACTGTATGGGTGTGGCTCAAATCTAAGAGCTAGGGTGTTACACAGGTTTTAGCCTTTGGTTCCATTTATCAAGGTGCCATGTTGGTGCATACTTTTGAGCCACAGCCGTATGATTCAGCTGTTTTCGTCGTGTTTCGCCCTGCACATCCGCCAGGAGCAAGTAGAGAGGGACCTGAGAAAAGCCGAGGCCTGTGCGAGCACCCCAGGTTTGGTTGCCCAAACGGGATTTAAACCGCAAAAACAAGGCAGTTGTTGTCAGCTAGCAGTTTCCATTGAATACAAACTGTACCCAAGAGGCTGTCATTGTAGAATTTTCATTATGATGAGCTTATTAAGGACCAACACAAGGAATCGAGACCCGGCATTGTGAGCCCTTGCCGGACTGTCAGATTGTTTCACACTCCAGATGCTACTTTGATCACAAAAGCTGCAGCAAGAGTTCTCTTGGCTTTGGCTTCTTAGGTGTTGAGTCTCCCGCACTGATTCATTCAATATTGTCTTTGGCCCACTGCCACCTGCGATATCCCATTATTTTTGTCTGATTCTCTAGCTTTTTGCCTTGTTTCTCCACTCCTCTTCCCTTCAACTTTCCACGCTCTCCCCCCCGCTCTCTTTCCGCTGAATTGAGTGACCTGAATCATCAAAAGCATGTGGCAGGCTGCGGGCAGCTCGTTTGGGTGTGACTTATCCCCTGAAAAGTTGTTTCCTGTTGGTTTCCTTTCAACTTTTTGGGGCAAAAAAAAGCACGAAAAAGAAGGAAACAAAAGAAACAACAACGTCGGACCCCTTCTTCCTCTGCGCAACGGCTCACGTGTCTTCGGAAACGCGATCGCCAGGCCGCGGCTGATATGGCGGTGAAGAATGCCAGCACTGCGCAGCTGGTGGAGCAAGAGGCAGGTGAGCCACAATCAAAACCCGGGTCGATGAAGCTTAGTTAGGGACGATCCCAACCATAAATAGCTGCGGCCGCCTTCTTATTCCTTTGCATGGTTCTGGGTTCACCTTTGATTGCGACTCAGGTGTCTTACACGGCGCACCAAACGAGTTGGATGTGGCACGCCTTTCACAAGAGTTGCTTCTGCACTGAGATCAATCTGGAAGGGTACCTAAGCAGGTGCATTCCTTCTTTTCTTTTTGGGTCGAGGTCTCCATTTGTAGTTCAAAATTAGTCGCGAGGAATTGGACCGCAGGTTCTTCCGTCCTTGCTTCCCTATTTTTGACCACCACATTGGTGTGGCCATGGGTCAAAATCCCGTATCTCAAGTGAACATCCGGTTCTAAAATGGGTGCTGCACCTACCAACCAAAATGGGATCCCAAAACGCTTTTGACCACCACACCCATGTAGCAAGAGGATCTCAAGGCACACTGCCCGTGCCTTCTCCAGGAGATCCGGCGCCTGGATGAAGACGTGTCCAGGTCCTAACTCAGAGCTCCGAGCTCAGCGCCGCGCGGCGGAGCGGTGAGGTTTCGCTGGCATTCGCTTCTCGACCTCAGGGAGAGTTGGTGGACCCCGTTTTTTTCCACGTGGAAGTCATCCGCAAGGAAATTTAGTAGCCAGAGCCCTGAAACGAGGACACCTCCGAAGCCAATGGCTGGAAATTGGAGCTTTGGTGCTGGACGCAAGCCATTCAATTGCGCAGGGTCCAGTCGCTGTGAGGTATGCCAAGAGCGAGCACGGCGTCTTCGCGCAGGGCTTTCGAAGCCCCGGATCCGCACCATTTCGAGAAGCAAGAGAGAGCCAGAAAACATCGGTGAGTCGTCGTGCGCGCCTGGATGTGAGGTTGGACCCCACAAAATGGGAGGTTTTCCTTTGGCTTCCCGAAAAGCACCAGCCCGGAGCGGAGACCCTCAAAAAAAAACGACCGACCCTCCTGCAAGTTCAGCGCAGACCGCATTTTGAGCGACCCGACAGTTGAGTGGAGTCAGTGGGTCACCTGGGTCGTCTTCGCCTTTGCCAGGCCGTGGTGCAACATTTGCTGACTGCCGGCGTCCCGCTGACAGGCCCGAAACCAGACTCCGGTCTGTGCCGCATCCCTCAGATGATACGGGTCTGTCTGTTTTTAGGGCTCCCATTTTGGTTGGTCTGGAAGGAAGCCCATCGTGTGGGACTCCCCTAAACAAAGACACACACACACACATACTGGACAGCATCGGAAAGCAAGTTGCCTTGAGCTCGTCGCCAGATTCTACTGCGCCAGCCTTTGCATGTTTGACATACGGCGTCGGGTGCGGGACCCGTTGACAGGCAACTGAACCCCCAAAGTGGACGACAACTGGTCCTTAAGAACTTGGATACAGGATAAACAATTGTAGGGGTTTGGTGTCTTGTTTGATAGCATTCAACATAGCTCGCCCTAACCGGCGGCAAGAAATGGAGACGAGACAGCTTCATGTGGGTTACTCTTTTTGTTAGGGGATGCCCTTTGCGTGTTTTACTTTTTCATTTTTTTTTGGGGGGGGGCCGCCCCAAAAAGACGGTGCTCTCAAAGGCGAAGACCTGTTTGCTTTTGGGTGAGCCTGGGCTTGCTTGACTCAAAGCCACATGTGCCACGATTTGTCTCTTTGGGCCTAACGTTGGGATGGTCATGGCAAGGATGCGTATCCCCTGGTTACCACTGTTCAAACAACGGTTGGGTTTATATAATCACCATTGTTTGCGTCAGGATTGTCATCATCCACATTGGATGCCAAGGCCATTCTCTTAATGGGAAGGGGTTGAATTTTAGGGTAACCACATTTTTGCTGATTCCTACCATGACCCCATCGGCCAAACAAAGGGAGTTTTGAACATGTGCAGATATGCGCGCCGCAGCCGTTGCACGGCTTTTAAGAGAGCATGGCTCTGTGAGTCTGTGATTGCGCAGTCATTTCTCGAAGCGATCCGATTACACACAAGCGAGCCCCCAGCCCATTCTCATTTACCTGCGCATTTTAAGAGGGAACCACCAAAGTGGCGGACATGAATCTCCACCGATTTTTTTCTGCGCCCAAAAAAGTCACTCTTTTGGACCCCAACCAATTCACACCCATTTCCTCCGGGGCATTGAAGAGAGAGCTTATTGCCCGACGGCAATGGTCCCAAAGGTCCGCAGCTCAGCTCAGCTTGAAGAAACTTTCCTTCCTGCGCGTCTCGCCGTCAGGCGAGATGCATCCCCTTGGGGTGGCTGTGCCTTGGTCCGAAGCGAATCCGCCGCGACGCGTCAACTGGGATCGCCTGGCTGCACCTCGTAGCGCGCACGCGCCGAGGCTCGCGGCAGTGGGGTGGAGCCTCTTTTTGGCAAGCTCCAAGCTCAGGCAAAGACTAGGGGGGGAAGATGGGATCGGGGGGTTGGTCCTAGGCTATGTGGGCTTCCTCGAGACTCAGCCCCGACGTTTGGCAACTTCAGACGTCAGCTGTGAGAATCAGACAGGCCGGAGCTGAATCCTTACAGCAAGATGTGACCACGCTGAGGATTTTCTTGGGCCCTGAGACTTTCAAACGGCCCTTGTCACTGCTTGTCACTGTTAATTGCGCGCAGAACACTCCGAACCAGCAGGTTTGTGAAGCCTTGGAAATCACTGGGGCTGATCCAACAACAGAGCCGGGAGTGCAGTCGTTTCACACGTCACCAGCTGCCAAAGTCGTTGACCTGCCCACACAGGCAATGAGACCGAGGGCGGTGTCGAGCACGGAGCGAACGAGCACACGGCAGGTGCCTAGTTCGTCATGAATTCCATGCCACTTGGGAGCTCCAACTTGACGTCAAACTGGGAGATGGTTGCTGCGAATGAGCCACATGAATCTGCAGGCCACGATGCCCACGGTCATCCTCACGACGCTCTGGCGTTTCTACTGCTCTCCTTTATCTTTGGAGTCTCTTTGACCGCGCTTACCATGGTGGAATACTTCAAAGGACTGCCGGGGGGGGGATGCGATGTGGTGATTTGGCAGTGGGATTTTTCGTGCGGCAAGAATGTTTGAAGCTGATCCAGATTCAAGTGCACGTGCGATTCGCCCTTTGTCAGTTTCCCATACAGAGATTGGATTTGGCTTCTATTGGGAGGAAACAAAAATTAGAGCGAACAAAGTGATTCTTTTGCGGGCGTCAAGAGAGGCTCCGCAGATTCCAACCGCTGTCTTGTTTTGTTGTTGTTTCTCCCTTGCTTGGCACAACATCTGAGCGTCGTTCTCGGTCGCATGCTTCTTTCTTTTTTTTCCCCGCCCGGCGTTCCCAAGATCTGCGCGTCTTTCGCTTCGCTCGCCTCGGCGAATTCTTCGGCTCCAGGACTTCAGCAGACAGTGGCGCTGTTTATTAGCGGCATCATCCTGGCGCTGATCCACAACGCGGTGCCGGCCGAGAGCATGAACGCCGTGTGGGCAAGCTCCTGGGAGATGTGGATGTAGCCCGGCGGGAAAGCTGGATAGCTGGGAAAACGCGAGGAGATGGCTGTGGCGTTCAAAACCGTTTTGGGATCCCATTTTGGTTGGTGGGTGAACTCACCACCCATTTTTAGGCTTGATTTTGGTGGGGATTGGGATGTTCACTAGGGGTACGGGCTGTAGACCCATGGCCACATGTTGTAGGGGTTTGTCTTTTCTAAGGGTACCTTTTTTTGGGTGGTTGCAAGGGGAAACCGAAGCGAAGACCACGCCAATTTTTGGGGTTCCTCTATTTTGACACACCCGGCTGTTTGCCGTTGGCCAACCCCAACTGAGGAACATCGATCCCCACCTCCTCCTTTTCACCATG